AAAATAAAATGACAAACATCAAAGATAAAGAAAGAATCTTAAAGGAAGCAAGAAAGAGATGGAAAGTTACCTAAAAGGGAGCTCCCATTAGACTGAGAGCTGATTTCTCAATAAAAACACTGCAGGAAAGAAGGGAGTGGCATGAAGCATACAGAGTAATGCAAGGCAAGGGTCTGAATTCAAGACTACTTTACCCAGCAAGGCTATCATTCAAAATTGAAAGAGAAATAAAGAGCTTCGCAGATTTTTTTTTTAAAAGCTAAAGGAATTTACCACCACCGAATCAGTACTGCAAGAAATGCTGAAGGGACTGTTGTAAAAAGAAGAAGAAACAGACAGAGAGAGAAAGAGAGGAACACAGGCACAAAATAAAAATGACAATTAACAACTGTCTATCAATATTAACCTTAAATGTAAATCGCTTAAATGCTCCAATCAAAAGACATAGGGTAACTGATTGGATAAGAAAACACGACCTATGTATATGCTGTCTACAAAAGATGCACCTCACAACAAAAGACTCAAACAGGATGAAAGCGAAGGATGGAAAAATTTTTTCCAAGCAAATGGAAATGAAAAAAAAAAAAAAAAAAGCTGGTGCAGCAATACTCGTATCTGATAAGATAGACTTCAAAATAAGGGCCATAATAAAAGGCAAAGAAGGTCAATACATAATATTAAATGGATCAATCCAACAAAAGGATATAACCCTGTTAAACATATATGCACCAAACACAAGAGCACCAAAATATATTTTAAAAAAATTTTAGAGAGCCCTGGTCAGTTTGGCTCAGTGATTGGAGTATTGGCCTGTGGACCAGAGAGTCCAGGGTTCAGTTCCTGCTGGGGCACGTATCATTTAAAAAAAAAAAAAAAAAAACTCCTGGAGGACTTCAAGGGAGAGATCAATAGCAATACTATCATAGTAGGTGACTTTAACACCTCACAGACCACACTGGATAGATTTTCTAGACAAAAAATAAACAAGGACACAGAGTCTTTAAATGACAAACTAAATCAGTTGAACTTAGTTGATATTTACAGAACATTTCACCCCAAAGCTGCAGAATATACATTCTTCTCAAGTGCACATGGGGCAGTAAGTCTCTATGAATTTGAGAAGATTAAAATCATTTCAAGCATCCTCTCAGATCATAATGGCATGAAACTAGAACTCAATTACAATAAAAACACACAAAAACATTCAAACACTTGGAGGCTAAATAACATGTTATTAAACAATGAATGGATTAGCAATGATATCAAGGAAAAAATTTAAAACTTCCTGGAAACAAATGAGAACAAACATACAACAACACAAATGTATGGGACGCAGTGAAAACAGTCCTGAGAGGGAAGTTAATAGTACTACAAGCCTACCTCAAGAAACAAGAAAAATTCCTAATTGACTTTCTAACCCTACAATGTAAAGAACTAAAAAGTAAACAAAAAGAAAATCCCAGAGCAAGTAGAAGGAAAGAAATAGTAAAGGTCAAAGAAGAAATAAATAACATAAAGACTAAAAAAAAATACAAAGATAAATAAAACAAAAAGCTGATTCTTTAAAAAAAAATAAACAAAATTGATGAACCTTTAGCGAGACTCACCAAGAAACAAAATGAGAGAACCCAAATAAACAAAATCAGAAACAAAAAAGGAGAAGTAACAACTGACACTACAGAAATACAAAGGATCATCGAAACATACGATGAACAATTATACGCCAACAAACTGGACAATCTAAAAGAAATGGACAAATTTATCGAAACACATGGTCTCCTAAAACTGAATCAGGAAAAGATAGAAAACTTGAACAGACCAGTAACAAGAAAGGAAATTGAAGATGTAATGAAGACTCTTCCAGCAAACAAAAGCCCAGGCCTGGACAGCTTCATGATGGAGTTTAATCGAACACTCAAAGAAGAACTAATACCCATTCTCCTCAAACTATTCCAAAAAAATCAAGAAGAAGAAAGACTACAAAACTCATTTTATGAGGACAGCATAACTCTAATTCCAAAACCACATAAAGACACTACAAAAAAGAAAACTACAGCCCAACATTTCTGATGAATATAGATGCCAAAATCCTGAACAAAATACTAGCAAATCAGATCCAGCAATACATTAAAAAAATTATTCCTTATGACCAAGTGAGATTCATCCAAGAGATGCAAGGCTGGTACAATATTTGCAAATCAATAAATGTGGTACACCACATAAATAAAATGAAAGATAAAAAGCATATGATAATATCAATAGATGGTGAAAAAGCATTCAACAAAATCCAGCACCCATATCTGATAAAAATGCTCAGCAATCTGGGAATAGAGAAATCAACATAATAAAGGTCATATATGAAAAACCTATAGCCAACATCATACTCAATGGGCAAAAATTGAAAGCATTTCCCTTAAAATAGGAATAAGACAGGGATGCCCACTTTCGCCACTCTTATTTAACATAGTACTGGAAGTCTTAGCCACAGCAATTAGACCTGAAGAAAAAACAAAAGTGATCCAAATTGGAAAGAAAGAAGTGAAACTGTCATTATTTGCAGATGACATAATATTGTACATAGAAAACCCTGAAGACTCCATCAAAAACCTACTACACTTAATAAATGAATTTGGCAAAGTAGCAGGATACAAATTTAAAGTCAAGAAATCGACAGTGTTCTTATACACTAATGATGAACTCACAGAAAAAGAAAGTAAAAAAACATTCCCATTTACCATCATGGAAAAAATATTAAGATACCTAGGAATAAGCTTAACCAAAGAAGTAAAAGACCTCTTCACAGGAAACTGCAGGTCATTGAAAAAGAATTAAAGGAAGATATAAAAAAAGTGGAAGCATATACCATGTTCATGGATTGGAAGAATTAACATCATTAAAATGTCCATACTACCCTAAGCAATCTAAAGATTCAATGCAATCACCATCAAAATACGAACGATATACTTCACAGAAGTATAATACTCCAAAAGTTTATATGGAACCAAAAAAGACCCTAAATAGTCACAGCAATCTTGACAAAAAAGAACAAAGTAGGAGGGATCACAATACCAGATATCAGGGTATACTACAAAGCCACTGTAATCAAAACAGCCTGGTACTGGCACAAGAATAGGCACATAGATCAAGGGAACAGAACAGAGAACCCAGAAATTGGCCCAAGACAATATGCTCAATTAATATTTGACAAAGGTGGCAAGAGCATACAGTGGAGTCAAGACAGACTCTTCAATAAATGGTGTTGGGAAAATTGGACAGTTACATGCAAAAAAAATGCAGCTAGTCCAGCCAGTATGGCTCAGTGGTTGAGTGTTGACCCATGCAACAAGAGGTTACTGCTTTGATTCCTAGTCAGGACACATGCCCAGGTAGTGAGCCTAATCTCCAGTGGGGGACATGCAGGAGGTTGCCAATTGATGTTCTCTCTCATCGATGTTTCTATCACTCCCTCTCCCTTCCTCCCTCTAAAATCAATAAAGGAAAACAAAAATTTTTTTTTAAATGAAGCTAGATCACCAACTTACACCACACACAAGAATAAACTCAAAATGGATAAAAGACTTAAATGTGACTAGAGAATCCATAAATATCCTAGAAGAAAATGTAAGCAACAAAATTTCAGACATCACACACAGCAGAATTTTCATTGATACAACACTTAAGGCAAGAGAAACCAAGGGAAAAAAAAATGAACACATGGACTACATCAAACGAAAAGGCTTCTGCACAGCAGAAGAAACAACCATCAAAATGGAAAGAGAAGCCTTTATATGGGAGACCATAATTGTCAATAATACATCAGATAAGGAGTTAATTTTCGAAATATATAGAGTACTCATACAACTCAACAAAAGGAAGACGAACTCAAATTAAAAATGAGCAGAGGAACTAAGGAGACACTTCTCCAAACAGGACTTACAAATGGCCAAGAGAAATATGAAAAAATGCTCAACGTCACTAATCATCAGAGAGATAAAAATTAAAACGACTTTGAGATATCACCTCACACCTGTCAGAATGGCTGCCATCAACAAATCATCAAACAACAAGTGCTGGCCAGGGTGTGGAGAAAAGGGGACTCTAGGACACTGCTGGTGGGAATGCAGACTGGTGCAGCCACTATGGAAAACACTATCATGTTACTTCAAAAAGTTAAAAATTGAACTGCCACTTGATCCAGTGATCCCACTTCTAGGAATATACCCTAAGAAGCCTGAAACACCAATCAGAAAGAATATATGTACCTCTATGTTCATAGCAGTGCTATCTACAATTGCTAAGATCTGGAAACAGCCCAAGTGTCCATCTGTAGATGAGTGAATAAAAAAAGCTGTAATCTGTATACACAATGGAGTACTATGTAGCTGTAAGAAAGAAAGATCTCTTATCCTTTGAGACGACATGGAAGGACCTGTAGAATATTATCCTAAGTGAAACAAGCCAATCAGAGAAAGACAAATATCACATGATCTCACTTATTTGTGGAATATAAAGAACAAAACAAATTAATGAACAAAATAGACCCAGAGACATAGAAGTAGGGTACAGACGGACAAACCTCAAATTAAGGGGTTGGGGGGGGGAAGAAGAGATAAACCACAGAATTTATTTGCATGTATACGTAACCATGGGCATAGACAACAATGCTGAAGACGGCAGGTGGCAGGGGGATCGGAACAAGGGTGTCAGTGGGACGAAATGAGAAACATCTGTAACAAAAATAAATTAATCAAAAAGTTAAAAATAAAAAATAAATAAAAAGAAGAAAGAGAGGCATTTACAGTGGCTGAGATTCCTAAGGGGAATATACCAGCCGTGGGTAAGGTGGGCCCCGACCACCTCTAAACCTTAGAGTTTCTGTTCTGTGCATCGTGTCTAGTCCTTCATGGGCAGGACAGGAGAGGACACAGCCTGGGGGGACAGTGTCTGACAACACTGGAGAAGGTACTTTCACTTCTGTTTCCCCATTTGGGTGGAGCCCTCCCTGGCTGAGTGGATTCACAGACTTCCTGCTCAGCACTGGGCAGCCACACTGGTCCCAGGCTGCGGACACACACTGGAGAGATCAGAAGTCCAGGCAGTGCCCAGGACAGGACGATAGCCGCTGGGGGCAGCGACCTCAGCACCAGGTCAGTTTCTGTCTCCCCTCCTTTAACTTCCTCTCTGAATGAGCGGCTGCTCCAGGGTCTGTCATTACAGTTATCTAAACCTTGACCTTCATCCTGCTCTGTAAGAACACTCTCGGGCACCATAAGGAAATGCAGGAATGCACAGTGAGGAAACCGGACCTTTAAACTGCAGGGGGGCAGGTGCTGGTGTGAGTGCAGCTGCCACAGCCCAGGGCTGACAGCCACTGCTCCTCTGGCAGCCCGTCTGGCTGGGCTGTCCTTCCTGATGCTCGAGACAGCGATCTGTTGTTTTCTCATGACCTCTGAACCCTCTCTTTCCCTCAGAACCCTCTACCTTCACCTGGATGGTTTCAAAGAGGGTACTTTAGAAAATATACAATTTAGGGTGAACATCTGACTTTCAAATCTGGGTGCCTTGGTCTCACAGCTGACCTGGGGATGGGTCAGCACTGGGCTTATCTCCATCTGTGGCTGGGGGTCTGGGGTCTTCCTCCAGGGATCTGGGACCTAAGGGAGTGAAAGGAAGAGGAAGGACCGAGATGCCAAAGGCTAGTGCCCCCAGAGACATAGAAGTAGGGTACAGTCTGACAAACCTCAGAAGAGGGGGGGAGATAAACCACAGAACTTATATGCATGTATGCATAACCAATGGACTTAGACAACAAAGCTGGGGATGGGGCCGAGGTGGGGGGAATTGGGAGGAACTTGTCAATGGGGGTAGAAAGGAGAAACATCTGTAACAAAAATTAATTAATTAAAATAATTAAAAACAAAACAAAATAAAAACACAAAGACTAGTGCAGGCTGAGTGTTTTCATCTGTACTGATTTTCTGCTCTGTAGGGGGTTATACCTCTGATGAGGAAAAGGCCAAAAATCCTACCTTTCTCTCTAGTAATGGGTCAGAAATAACATTACTTCGTATGGTTGTTAGACTTTTTTTTTTAAATTTTTTTTCAACTCATGTTTATTGTTGAATATATTACAGATGTTCCCTCTTTTTTTCCCATGGACTCCCTTCTTCCCAATCCCACCCCCTCCTGCCTTCCCCACACTACTGTCTGTGTCCATTGGTTATGCACAAATGCATAGAAGGTCTTTGGTTTGTATCATCCCGCCCTCCCTCCCCCCTTCCCTTTGAGGTTCATCAGTCTAACAACCAATTTGTACTTCTTAATTCCTTCATGTTTTTCACCCATCCCCCCATGTTTTGTTTTTAATACAAACAAAATACATTAGACATTCTTGACCATAAAATTTCCAATGACATGGTCCTATTCCCCACCCACCCACCCTTGGCAGCTTCCAGTCCCAGTCCTGGTTGAGTGTTGTGGGCATAGTGTTTTATGTCTCTTTCTCTGCATTTACACATATAACTTATTTTCCTGAATAGTACTTTATGTCTTGTTTTTTAATGAGTGAGACTATATTGTATATGCTATTTTGGATTTTACATTGAAAAAAATAGAATGTGTGAATTATTAGAGGTCTTTTCATGTTAATAAACATATAGATCCACCTCATTCTTATTACTCCATGGAATTGATAGGCCAAAATTTTAAAATTATGTTCCATATAAAACATTCGTGTTGTTTCAATTGTTCACTGTTACCAACAAACTGCCATAATAACGGTTATATTTTATTTATGTTTTGCATATATACAAGTACGTCTCTTGTGTCAAAAATCAAGAGGTGAAATTATTGAGGCAAAGATTACTAACATTTAATTTTTTATATAGCCTACCAGATTGCCTTCCTACTGCTGAACCACTGTCTTCTCCGACCACTCTCCACACCTGGGCTTCAACAGGGTGTGGGATGGAGGGATACATCCTGTTAATTTTCTTTCTCTGATAACATGGGAGGTTGAATGGGTTTTTGTGTTTATTGGCTATTTAAATTGCCTCATCTGTCGAATGCTGGTTTATTTTGGCCAATGTAATCAGTTGAGGTGATTGTCCTTTCTTTAATGATAAATGAGAGTTTGCTACCTAGTCTGAACTTCATAAATGTATGTTCTTACCTTTTCATTTTTTTATGGTGACTTCCATCGTATTGAAGCTTTCACACGTAGAGTAAAAACTTATTATCGTATTGATTTGATAAGATAAACGCACCCTTGTTATTCCAAATACATAAGTGATGCAGAAGCTGCTCGGGAACTCCACCTGCACCGTCTTTAACCACAGTTCCCATGTTCCTCAGGTGGCGGATTCCTTCTCCCTGGGCTTCAGGGAAACTTTCTCCTCTGCTGTCAAACGTGTTCTATTTATTTATTTATATATTTATTTATTTATTTATTTATTTAATTTACTTATTTATTTTTAAATTTTATCTTTGTTACAGATGTTTCTCCTTTTTTACCCCATTGACACCCTCCTCTCCATCCCCCCCCCCAGTTCCCAGCTTTGTTCTCCATGTCCATTGCTTATGCATACATGCATATAACTTCTGTGTTTATCTCTTCCCACCCCCACCACCCCCTCTTCTGAAGGTTGTCAGTCTGTACCCTACTTTCATGTCTCTGGGTCTACCTTATTCCTCAGACTGTTATGTTCATTATATTCCACAAATAAGTGAGATCATGTGGTATTTGTCTTTTTCTGCTTGGCTTGTTTCGCTTAGCATAATACTTTCCAGGTCCCTCCTCGTTGTCTCAAAGGTTAAGAGATCTTTCTTTCTTACGGCGGCATAGTACTCCATTGTGTATATGTACCACAGCTTTTTTATTCATTCGTCTACTGATGGACATTAGCTATTGTAAATATTCCTGCTATGAACATGGGGGTACACATATTCTTTCTGATTGGAGTTTCAGGCTTCTTAGGGTATATCCCTAGAAGTGAGATCACTGGGTCAAATGGCAGCTGAATTTTTTAATTTTTTGAGAGAACACCATATTGTTTTCCATAGTAACTTCACCAGTCTGCATTCCCACCAGCAGTGTACCAGAGTCCCCTTTTATCCACAGCTTCACCAACACTTGTTTGATGATTTGTTGATGGCAGCCATTCTGACAGGTGTGAGGTGATACCTCACTGTTGTTTTAATTTGCATCTCTCTGATGATTAGTGATGCAGAGCATTTCTTCATATGTCTCTTAGCCATTTGTATGTCCTGTTTGGAGAGGTGTCTATTTAGTTCCTCTGCCCATTTTTTAATTAGGTTCTTTGTCTTCCTTTTGTTGAGTTGTATGAGCACTCTTTATATTTTGGAAATTAACCCCTTATCTGATGTATCATTGTCAATGATAGTCTCCCATACAGTGGGTTGCCTTTCCATTTTGATGGTTGTTTCTTTTGCTGTGCAGAAGCTTTTTAGTTTGATTATTCAGCATGACCAAGTGGGATGCATCTCAAGGATGCAAGGGTGGTACAATATTTGCAAATCAATAAATGTGATACACCACACAAATAAAATGAAGAATAAAAACCACATGATCATATCAATAGATGCTGAGAAAGCATTCAACAAAATCCAACATCCATTTCTGATAAAAACGCTTAGCAATCTCGGAATAGAAGGATCATATCTTGACATAATAAAGGCCATATATGAAAGACCTACAGCCAACACCATACTAAATGGGCAGAAACTAAAAGCATTTCCCTTAAGAACAGGAACAAGACAGGGATGCCCACTTTTTCCACTCTTATTTAGATAGTACTGGAAGTCATAGTCACAGCAATCAGACATGAAGAAAAAATATAAGGAATCCAAATTGGAAAGGAGGAAGTGAAACTGTCATTATTTGCAGATGACATGATATTATACATATAAAACCCTAAAGACTCCATCAAAAATCTACTAGACTTAATAAATGAATTTGGCAAAGTAGCAGGATACAAAATTAACATCAAGAAATCAACAGCATTCTTATACACCAATGATGAACTCACAGAAAGAGAAACTAATAAAACAATCCCATTTACTATAGCGGCAAAGAAGATAAGATGCCTAGGAATGAACTTAACCAAAGAAGTAAAGGATCAATTTGCAGAAAAGTACAGGACATTGAAAAAAAAAATAGAGGAAGACATAAAAAAGTGGAAGCACATACCTTGTTCATGGGTTGGAAGAATTAACATCATTAAAATGTCCATACTACCCAAAGCAATCTATATATTCAATGAAATCCACATCAAAATACCAACGACATATTTCACAGAACTAGAACAAATACTTCAAAAGTTCATATGGAACCAAAAAAGACCACAATACCCACAGCAATCCTGCAAAAGGAGGACAAAGTAGGTGGGATCACAATACCAGATATCAGGTTATACTACAAAGCCAGTATAATCAAAACAGCCTGGTACTGGCACAAGAACAGGCATATAGACTAGTGGAACAGAACTGAGAACCCAGAAATGGACCCAAGACATTATACTCAATTAATATTTGACAAAGGTGGAAAGAGCACACAGTGGAGTAAAGACAGCCTCTTCAATAAATGGTATTGGGAAAATTGGACAGCTACATGCAAAAAAATGAAACTAGACCATCAACTTACACCATACACAAGAATAAACTAAAAATGGATAAAAGACTTAAATGTGACCCATGAATCCATAAAAATCCTAGAAGAAAATGTAGGCAACAAAATTTCAGATATCATATGCAGCAGAATTTTCACCGATACACCTAAGGCAACAGAAACAAAGGAAAAAAATGAACACAAGGGACTACATCAAATGTATTCTTTTTAAATTGTGGAACAAAACTATTCTTCCATGGGTGCACCTTTAGCCTTCACAGCTTTATCCTTCCCTAATAAATCATCTCTTTAGCTTTTCCCTTTTCTTCCTAAGGGCTGTCTCAAACCTTTCTTCTATGACAGTGATTTAATTTTTATTAGTTCTTATGGTTTCTCGTTATTACTAATTTTTTTCAATGTTGATTCTGTTAGTTTCTTCATCCCCAGGCAAAATCCTCTGCCTGTATCAAGTCCAGGTCACCAGTCCCTGGCTGTGTCTGGAACTGACACCTGCTTTCACAG